ACATCCTCAGCCTATTTTTATATTTTATTTAGAGACAGGGTCTTGCTGAGTTTGCTTAGTGCCTCGCTAAATTGCTGAGGCTGGATTTGAACTCATGATCCTCCTATTTTAGCCTCCCTAGCTGCTGGGATTACGGGCGTGTGCCACTGCACCTGGCCTTTATTTTTTGAGACAGGGTTTTATTAAGTCGCTTAGGGCCTTCCTAAATGGCTGAGGCTGGATTTGAACTTGTGATCCTCCTGCCTCAGCCTCCAGAGATTTGTGGGATTATAAGTGTGAGCCACCATGTCCAGAGTTGCTGCCTTAAATAAAAAAATAGAAAAAAAAATTCCCCTCCAAATAAAAGGCTTATAGAAATCGGGCATGCATTATGGCTAGCAGGTCCAGTATAGCGAATGCACTTAAATTGAGCCCCGGAGAATAGTGGATCAAGTCCTCAGGTTATAAAGCAATAATATAACTACTTTCATTGAGGTCTAGAGTGGTTCTCATCTGGGGGCCGGAATATCTAGATAAAAGCTGATTTAAATGTAATCCCAGCCAGCCAGTGGCACACGCTTGTAATCCCAGCAGCTAGGGAGGCTGAGGCAGGAGGATCACAGTTGGAGGCCAGCCTCAGCCATTTAGCAAGGCTCTAAGCAACTCAGGAACATCCTATTCTCTAAATAAAATACAATAAAAGGGCTGGGGATGTGGCTTAGTGGTTAGGCATCCCTGGGTCCAATTTAGGAAAACAAGATGTCATCCTAAATTAGTGGCTTTATTATTTGAAACCCTGTGTCATCAAATTACAAAATAAAAGAGCAAATTAAAACAAGGACAGTGGTAAAGCACCCCTGTGCTCCATCCCCAGTACTGCTGGGTGGAAACTGGCCCAGTCGGGCTCCAACTGGTTACCTTCTCCAAGTGCAGCCGAGACAGCAGCACGGGGCTGCTGGACTGGGGGCTCTTGTTGTAAGAGGGGTAGTACTTCTCGGGGTCTCTCCACTCTGGGAGTCGCTGCTGGCCCTGTCGATCGTGATAGGCACAAGCTCTCGTGAGGACATCTCTAGGTAAGTGACAGGAYGTGCGCCCACACATCCTTCAGCTCGGCCTCCCTCTCGCCACCTTTAAATACAAAACATAAGGAGAAGGTYTATACATGAAATATCAGATCTTTTTCTGTGACCAGGGATGGAACCCAGAGTGCTTAACCCCTGAGCCCCATCTCAACCCTTTTTCCTATTTCATTTAGGCACAGGGTCTCGCTGAGTTGCTGAGGGCSTCACTAGAGGCTGGCCTCCAACCCGCGATCCTCCTGCCTCGGCCTCCTATGGGGATGGCCTGGTGCAATGTCAGGTCTCAGTCACAGCGTCCTCCTGCGATGTCCAGGTTCTACTACTCGGGACCCCCAAGCTCCATCAGGGACAAGGATCCGCCCCTTGGGCTCAACACCCTGGCCCCCCGGTGCGGCCCTGGCACTGAATTGAATCGCTCCCCAAACAGTTGCCCGGATGCAACTCCCCGAGGAGGTGGGTTCCTGGAGCAGCCAAGAAAGGCGACTGGGGCCCCTGGCGCTGCCCTCTGGCGACCCTTGGTCCCGCCCTTCTCTGTCCCCGCAGGCGCCGGCGACCCGGCCGGAAACGCGGTCCCCCCSGCCGCCCGCTGCCCCCGCGGCCCAAGGCCCGGGCTGGACCCCGGCGGCGAACGCGCTCCGGGCTCGGCTCCCGGGTCGCCGGGTGCAGGTGGCTCCGTAGCCGCTGTACGCCCCGCCCCTGCCCCGCGTCGCCTAGAGCCGGCCCGGCCGTCCCGCCTGGCGACCCGCGTCGCTTCACCCTCGGGCGTCGGAGTCCAGAGGCTCCGGCCGCCCGCGTCGCCTCACTTCACCTCACGCTCGCGCCGCGCTCAGCCGGGACACCGCGCGCCTGCGCCAGCTCCCGCCCCAACCAGCCTAGGCCCCGCCCCTGGGMCAGCCCCGCCCCAAAGGGGCGGGACGTCCGCGTTCATGCGTCGCGGGATTCCGTTCCTGTGGCCCCGCCCCCGGGCGAGCCCCGCCCAAGAGGGCGGGCCGTCCGCSTTGATGCGCCGCGGGATTCCGTTCCCTTGCTCCGCCCCCACGTCAGCCCCGCCCCAGAGGGCGGGCCTTGCTACCTTTCCCTGTGGCCCCGCCCCCAGGTGAGCCCCGCCCTAGAGGGCGGGCCGCGCCCCTGCGGRTTCCCTTCCCTGGGCTCCAGGGACAGACTGGCCGCCAGGCACCTGGGTTCCCTCCCCCGAGGCCTGTCCCCCAGGGAAGGGCCCTGGCACCCGGGCACCAGGTCATTGTGGGGGTGAAGTCTTCATTTCAGGCCTGACGAGGACAGAACCCGAGCCACCCAGGAGCGCGTCCCACAGTCACGCATGGCTGGAGTCTGCTCCCTGATCACCATGCGAGCTGCTCTTCTGCCACTCTTCCTCCATGATGTCCCCCTCGACTCAAGCCACCAGGAATGGAGCCGGCCTCTATGGACTGAGTCCTCTGAAACCTTGAGCCCCAAACTAACTTTTCCTCCTCTAAAATTGATCAAATCAGATCTTTTAGTCACACCATGAAAGGGAGGGTTGAGGCCCCAGGAGACCACCCTGGAGCTGGTCACCTGCTGTCACTCACTTGGCAAACCTTAGGCCTGGTGCTCGGGCAGCGTGAGTAGGAGATGATACAACATCAAAGGGGCAAGGGGGACACAGTCCTCCACCAGGGAGGCCTCCCCAGGGGAAGTGGAGGCCGGGGCAGGAGTCTGCAGAAGTAGTAGTCGTTCAATAAATACATGCTGATTTATTATAGTACTAAGGTCGTTTCTTGGGGGATAAATTGAGGTGTAAACATTTTCTTTTACCCAACTGTGACGCCCCTCCCCTCTCAGGCAGCACTGCAAGACCTAGGCCAAGCTAAAATAATCCTCTATTAAAGACAAAAAAAAGTTACTCCCTAGGAATTCTGGGATAGGGGGTGGAATTTTTAAAAGTCCACACGATGGTTCCTGATTGATTGGTTTTGGATACAAAGGCTTGGGAAGGGTCTCCACCTGTTTGTTGGGGAAGCAGGATTTTTCGAGTAGTGTTGGGGGAAAGGACTGAATGGGCTCTGGCAGACTGGTCCCTTAGCCCACAGARGCCAAGATGACGTCTACTGGCAGCTCCTCTGTACTTCTGGCTGTCACCTGCATTGTCACTGTGTCCAAAAGCAGCAGTCGGGAGCGAACGAGGATGTCGTGACCACCACGGAACACGCCTGGAGGAGAAGGGGGGAGAGGGAGGTGAGGGAGGGGGCGGGCAGAGGGTGGCCCTGGCAGAGGCTGGTCAAGGTGGCTCTGCAGGAGAGCTGGGCTGAGATCCCTGAGGGGAGGCCTGACYACTCTGAGCTCCCCAACTCAGAACCTCAAAGCACAGGGAATGATACCAACCGCGTTTCCAGATTTCTCCAAGCCCCGATGGATGAATCCTGGACATGGGACATTTATACCTCATGTCACAGAGGCTACATCTGACAGCACAGATGGAGGGGACAGCCCCAGCCAGAGAAAACCGCAGAGCAGGTGTCTACAAGACCCAGGGGACTGAGCTACTTCAGGGTGGCCACAAATGATGGGTTTGGGGGCTGTCAGCTGTGCGCAGGCAGCGAAGCAAAGCGTCCTCCTTCCGCTGTTTATAAACACTCAGCTAAAAAAAAAATCCCATTTCCTTTCCTTTTTAAAAAAAAAAAATTTTTTTTTTTTTTTTTTTTTTTTTGGTACCAGGGATTGAACTCAGGGGCACTTGGCCACTGAGCCCCATCCCTAGCCCTATTTTGTATTTTATTCAGAAACAGGGTCCACACTGAGTAGCGCCTCGCCCTTGTGGAGGCTGGGTTTAAAGTCGTGATCCTCCTGCCTCAGCCTCTCAAGCCACTGGGGTTACAGGTGTGTGCCACCGTGCCCGGCCTCCATCTCCTTTTCTTAATTGTTTTAGGTGTGATAACTGCATTGGCCTTTTGGCATTGGACACAGGATCCTACCAGGTGCAGGTGGTGCATATCYGTCATCCCAGCCTCTACCTTGTGATCCTCCTGCCTCAGCCTCCYGAGCTGCTGGGATGACAGGCGTGCACCATCGTGCCTGGCAGCCCAGGGTCGGGGTACCCCACSRAGACACAGCTCACCTGCCAGGAGCAGCGCGTGGGTATTCTTGTTCTCCGGGACCCTGTCAGACCTCTCGCAGGGATGCATCCCTAAGAACTTCACRATGTTGCCCACAGCCTCTGGAGGAGAGACCAGGGCATAAAGTCAGGTATCTTTTGTGTGGTTTTGTATGTGTGAGGTTCTGGGGGTCAAATCCAGGGCCTTGCACATGCTAAGGACGCCTTCTAGTGGGCCACGTCCCCAGTCCCAAGTCATGTATCTTGTGTGTCTCTCTTTTTTGGATTCCAGGGATKAAACTAAAGGYGCTTCACCCCTGAGCCCCGTCCCCAGCCCTTTTTTAGATTTTATTGAGAGACAGGGTCTCGCTGAGTTGCTTAGGGCCTTGCTAAGTGGCTGAGGCTGGCCTCTAACTTGCGATCCTCCTGCCTCAGCCTCCCGAGTCGTTGGGATTATAGGTGTGCTTTTCTTTTGGGCACTGACACCGTGCTGAGTGGCTTTTAATGAAGGGATGTTAAAGGTATGAGCTCTAGACATGGTCCTGGATCTTTGGAAGCAAAAGGAATGAACTCTGAAATAACACCCGAGGGTCCTGGAGGGCAGGTACGTCAGGGACAGCATCCTCAGAATTTTACCTTCCAGAGTCTTGATGGTGGACAAGGTGAACGTCTCYTCCTTCTCAAACTCATCCCCTACCTCATCCCAGGCGGCTTCGAAGTTTACTTTCATGACCTTCTGGATGTGATCGGCTACGGTGACCTCCAGGTCTTCCAGCTGCAGAGGTGCAGGTAGAAGTGAGTCGCCCATCCCCGTGGGACCCGCCCTGTGTCTGTCAGGGCTGATGCTCTGAACCCTCTCCCAGGTCCCCTGCACCCTGCTCGGCAGGTGCGCCCACGAGGCACAGAGCACCTACTGGGTGCCCACAGGAACCAGCCCAYGACACAGGACTCATCCTAGACTTCTCTCTGTGGGACACGATCTTCGTGGGCCTGCCTGCAGCCAGAGCCTGGGGACCGGGTGTCCAGGGACTACGGGAGGAGCTGAGGCCGACTCCCTTGCCAGTCACTCACAGGRGTGAGGTCCAAGGGAAGCCACCATTTCTTTTTCTCCTCTTTTTATTTATCTATTTTTTACGGGAAGCCCCGCCCTATTCTGTATTTTATTTAGAGACAGGGTCTCACTGAGTTGCTCACTAAGTGGCTGAGGCTGGCCTCCACCTTGCGATCCTCCTGCCTCAGCCTCCWCAGCTGCTGGGATGACAGGCGTGGGCCACTGCGCCTGGCCAGACCCTTCTTTTAATCTACCGAAGCTCAGTGGCAGCACACTTGCCCGGCAGGTGCGAGGCACTGGGTTCGAGTCCCAGCACCACATTAAAAAAAAACACGAAATAAGCAAAATAAAGGTATTGGGACCATCTCCAACTAAAAAATAAAAGAAAAAAGAAAAACAAAAAAATCCATAAAGCCAAATCCGCAGGGAGAAGATGGGTTGGACGGTGGCCTCCTGCTTACCACGTACTCGTCCTCGTAGCCTTCTTCGTCCGTCTCCCCGGTGGTGGGGTCGCAGTCCTTGACAGTGAACTTCATCATGCAGCTGAACGTGCAGGCCACTGTGGGGAAGCAAGGCTGGGTGGCCAGGACGTCCCCAGGCCACGTGGGTCAAGGTCCTCCTTAGGCAGGGCCAGCCTGTCCCCTAGGCTTCTGCTATGTTATCCGTCATGGTGACGTGTCACCCACCCCAGCTGGCTGTACTGAATGAAGGTGCCACCTCGTAGGACAGCAGTCAGGTCACGTGTCCAAGGCAGAGCAGAGACAGTGCAGACTGGCTGCGTCYACGTCACGGCCCCCGGCCTCTGTCCAAGGTGTTGGCAAGGAGCTGGGGGCTCCAGAGGATGGAGGGGACTGGGCAGCACTGAGTGTCCGGGGCCAGTGGACCTGCCGCAGCTCCCTCAGCAGTGCTCATGTCCCCAGGGAGACAGCAGGGCAAGGACTCTGGCTACGTCCCCGTCACCACCACCACAAATGACCAACACAAACATGTGACACACACATTATATAGACATATTGACATAAATATAAATAATAATCCAAATAATAACATTTAGAACACATCAACTGGGCCGGGCACAGAGGCACACTCCTATTAGTCACCCCAGTGCCTTGGGAGGCTGAGGCAGGAGGATCGCAAGGTGGAGGCCAGCCTCAGCCACTTAGTGAGGCCAAAAGCACTAAGTATATCATAAGCGTAAATATAAATTTATATAAATAATGTTTATATCATGTAAATATGTTCGCCCATTCAAGTTATCATCATTTATATTATGTCATATGATGTATTTCTTGTAGATACGATTAAAATACTATAAATACAACGTAATATTCACACATAACATAAACATGGACTATATAATGTAAATATGTAAATAATGATTTTTACATMATATAAATGTGTATATTTATGTCAATATAAATCATAACCATCAAAGTGACAATACAGACACATTCACATCGTGTTTGTGTGACTACAACCTGTGACAGGAATAGCAGTGACAGTGGGAATCTCACAATGGCTACTACGTGACGCCCTCCCCCCAGCCCCAGGCCGGCCACCATGGGGGACTCACCGGCCGTGGGCTCGTCCCTGGGCAGGGCCACCAGTGTGTAGCAGGTGCCGGGCTGGTTGTAGGGCAGGCTGCGGGCGGGCACGCAGCACAGCACCTCGTAGGCCTCTGTGGGCTCCATCTGCACRGTGACGTTCTCCAGGGTCTGGTCATTCAGCGTGTTGGTGCAGTCAAACTGGACAGGCGACAGGGGACAGGGGTTCAGGCCAGGCTGCGGGGAGGCCCGCGGTCCCTACCCCCACGGGGTTAGGCGGCCCCCCATCCTCGCCCCCACCCCCGATCCCTGTCTCTGGCGACCTCAGGAGCTAGAGGGGCCCTGCCACCCAACTGGGGTCCCCAGCAGCTCCAGGGTGGCAGTGCCAGGCCACTCCAGGACCTGGGACCGTCCTGCTCACCTGGAACACCATGTGCTGGGTGAAGGTGTGCTTGGTGCAGCGGACGACGTACTCCGTCTCCGACTCGGTGAGGGCCACGGGCTCGGGCGACGACTTGAAGAGGGGCCCCAGGCCCTGGAACTCGGGCACCGCAGCCAACTGCTCTAAAAGCACAGCCACACCCCCTCAGCCTCGGTGGCCCACACCAGCGTGGGGCAGTTTCTAGTGAATTCTAGCTGATTCTTGGGGACACGCGTGTGGATACTCGATTGGCTCCTGGCACCACCTCCTAGGAACAGTCCCCTCCCCTGTCCTACAAAAGACCTGACAAGAAACAGAACAACTGGGCNGCCACACCCCAGGCCTTTTTCTATTTTCTTTAGAGCCAGGGTCTCGCTGAGTTGCCGAGGCTGGCCTCCACCTTGCCATCCTCCTGCCTCAGCCTCCCGAGGTCTGGGATGACAGACGTGGGCCACTGCACTGACATCACCAAGACATTTCTGTGGCTTCCTAGTTAACAGATCGGAGCTGCCCAAAGWCCGGGCCCCTTTGGTTCTGTTTTTGCTTTTGAGATGGGGGTCTTGCTAAACTGCCCAAGTTGACCTTGAACCTGTGACTCTCTGACCTCAGCCTCCTGAGGAACTGGGATAATGGTCCCTAGGCCTTTGCATGTGTTGCTCTGTCAGCCTGGACCGGACTCCCTCTGCACTCCGCCTCTGGTCTTTTCCCCARCGGTTCTGCGGAAGAACCCAGGGCCTGCACACGCTGGGCAAGTGCTCTCCACTGAGCTATGTCCCCAGCCTCTGTCCTGCTCCTTCTTTCTCATCCTTTAAGACCCCACTCGGGGTAATCCCACAGATGCTGGAGGCTGCGGCAGGAGGACTGCAAGTTTGAGGCCAGCCTCTGCAATTGAGCAAGACCCTGTCTCAAAATAATAATAAAGGGAAAAAAAACCTCACTTACATGGCTCTAAATGATTTTTCTGGTCCAAAATCAAGCTGGTGCCCTCCTGATCTGCCCCCGCAGTCCAGCATACTCCCCAGAACAACCCTTTCTACACCTTACCTTAATGGCCTGACTGCCTGGTGTCACCCTGTYGATTCCAAGGCTACAAGAGGCCCGAGGTGTCCTTTTTGGATACTAGGCACTGAACCCAGGGATGCTCCACCCACCAATGAAGGACATTCCGTGTCCTTTTTTCAATTATGAGACAAGTTCCCGCTAACTTGCTTATGGCTTCTCTAAGTGGCTGAGGCTGGCCTCCACCTTGCGATCCTCCTGCCTCAGCCTCCCGAGCCTCTCTTCCTCCATGATGTCCTGCCTCCCCTCAGCCCAGGAGTGGAGCCACCATGTGTGGATTGGGACCTCGGACACCCTGAGCCCCAAGTCCACTTGTCCTCCCCCGACTGCCCTGAGACCTGCCTGCTGGTGACAATGATGACGTCCTCGGCGATGCAGGACATCTCCTTGATGGTCAGGTAGCACATCCGACGCAGCGTGGGCTGCAGAAGAGGCGGGAAAAGCCCATCAGACACCATGACAGTCCACCCGTCCCAGCGGCCACCAGGAAAGTGGGGGTAGGGGTGGGGTGGGGTGGGGTGACACACGACAGGGACGCGACACTCACATCGTTGGATTGAAAGAGTTTGGTCATGGCGAAGAAGGCCTCTGTGGCCTCGGTGGTCCCCAGGTGCTCCCCCTGTGGTCACCAAGAGAGCAGCCTCAGCTGCGGACAGAGGGCTCTTCCGGGCACCAGCTGCCCCCCGCTCCAGACCTCAGTCCCCAGCCCTGCACCCTCAGCGACTCTGTGGCAGACACACTTCACAATCGGGGACTGGGGGACCCGAGCTGGGTCGCTGGCTCACGCCATGGAGACCGTCAGAGGCCCAGGGCACCCGCTGACCTGCGCCCAGGGTCCCCCACGAGCCCGGCCCTTACCTGGTTGATGAGGTAGAGGATCTTGGTGAGGATGTGGGCACATTTCCGAGGGTTGATGGGGGTTTCGTTAAAGACCCGGGCCTAGGAAGAAGCCACCAAGGACATGACCTTCTGGCCCAGGTCACGTCCCTTCTGCTGGCCACTCTCAAGGGCATTTGTGGTTTGAGAAGTCACGGGATAAACGCCCGAGTCAACGTGAAGAAAAAAAGTTCTGTTTCTTTTTCTTTTTTTTCGGGGACCAGGGACTGAACCCAGGGGTGCTCAACCCACTGAGCCCCGTCCCCAGCCCCTTTTTCTATTTTATTTAGAGACAGGGTCTCGCTGAGTGGCTNGGGGCTGGGGCTCAGTGGTAGAGCGCTCACCTAGAACGTGCGAGGCCCTGGGTTCGATCCTCAGCACCGCATAACAGTAAATAAATAAATAAATAAACAGATCTCAGCCAGGTGGATCCGGATCTTAATTTCAGTGCTTCTATTTTTCCAGCTGTGCTAGCTACACTGGGCCAATGACTTTGTCTCTCTGCATTTCTAGATCCTCAAAAGGGSAGGCTGAGGCAGGAGGATCCCAAGGYGGAGGCCAGCCTCAGCCAAAGCGARGCCCTGAGCCACTCAGGGAGACCCTGTCTCTAAATAAAATACAAAATAGGGCTGGGGAYGGGGCTCMGGGGTGGAGGGCCCCTRGGTTCAGTCCCTGGTCTCACCCCTCCCAAAAAAGAAGAGTAGGACAAACAAGTCTCCAAATCCAGCACTCAGGAGAGACCCAGYGAGGTTTCTACTTCTGTTCAGTTCTTAATCCCCCTCAGGAGACTGACCAGGTCCCACGTGATCCACATGGTCAGGCCTTGGAAGGCGCGCGTAGGCCCACGCTGACCCCTGTCGTGGATTTCCTTGGTAGCTCTGCCACTCACCCTGGAAGATCTCCTGCCTGGTGGCGGCCACCTTCTCGGGTTGTTTGACGGCTGCGATGGGGGTGGTCTCTGTAGGCACAAATATACAGGTTAACCAACAGCTCTGGCCACTAGGAGGGGACAGGCCGCAGGGTGCTGACTGCCGTGCTGTCCCTGAGCCGTAAAGCCCAACACTCCTGAAAATGTCCAGAGCATGTGAGAAAAAGAGCAAGCATTTGACAGGGTGCTATGTATGGTGCATGTCTGTCCTCCCAGCAGCTCAGGAGGCTGAGGCAGGAGGATCGCAAGGTAGAGGCCAGCCTCAGCCAAAGCAAGGTCCTAAGCAACTCAGGGAGGCCCTGTCTCTCAATAAAACACAAAATAGGGCTGGGGGTAGCGCTCGGTGGTCAAATGCTCTGAGTTCAATCCCCGGTACCCCCAAAAAGCGCAGATCTCACCTGTTCTCTGCTCAGCCGTGGGCGTGGTGGCCAGGGGCACAGACTTGAGGTCGAAAGGTTTTTCYGAAGGTTCCAGAGTGTACTGCTGCAGAGCCCTCTCCAGACCAGGGATGGACACCGTCAGACCTAGAGGCCAGTGGGAGAGAGGTCACTCGTCCTTACAACGCAAGAGAAGGTCACCAGGAATCCCCCAAATTACAAACCCTAGGGGAGGTCTGGCTCTGGGAAAATCACTTAATTTGTTTAGTTTTTGGTACCAGAGATGGAACCCAGGGTTGCTTCTCCCCTGAGCTCCAGCCCCATCACTTTTCATTTTTACTTTGAGACAGGGTCTCGCTGAGTTGCTCAGGACCTCACTAATTTGTCGAGGCTGGCCTCCAACTTGCRATCCTCCTGCCTTGGACTCCGGAGCGACTGGGATGATACCACTGTGCCCAGCAGAAGTTATTTTTGTTCATGATGAGTATTTTCAATTGACCAGGCTGTTTCCACCCACAAGGCTTGGCCTGAATGTTCCTGGGCCTTCTGAGGTCCCAGCARCGCCGCCCTGAGGTTGCCAGGAAGGTCCAAAGAGACTCTAGCCTGGGCCTCCCTCGCCTCATTAAAGTAGCTGTTCTGGGAGGAGCTGTGCAGAGGGCCAGGGAGGACTCACCATTCAGGATGTAGCCTGCATTGAGGGCCTTCTGCTTCTGCTCCAGGACATTCAGATAGAAGGTGGCTCGGTCCCTTACTTCATTGTCGTCGTCCATGACACACCTGCAGCCGGGAAACGGGGAGCTGCTGACTGGGGATCCGCAGCGCTGGCAGGAAGCACGCTGCAGAGTTCCATCAAGGGGTGGCAGGAGCAGGCGGGTCTCTTAAAGCTCAGACAGCTCCGTCGCCAGAGGTGGTGTCCTGGCAATTCTTGTATAAAGCCATCGAAACGCACAGAGGGGGCCCAGGACAGAGCTCAAGAGTATTAGGCTGGGCACAGCGGCTCATGCCTCTCATCCCAGTGGCTCAGGAGGCTGAGGCAGGAGGATCACAAGTTGGAGGCCAGCCTCTTCAACTTAGCAAGACCCTAAGCAACTCAGGGAGACCCTGTCTCTAAATAAAACATAAAAAGGGCTGGGGACGGGGCTCAGGGGTTAAGTGCCCCTGGATTCAATCCCTGGTACCAGAAAAAAAGAAGTAGATTTGTGGTTGTTTGGATCTGGAAACGCTGAATGAATGAGATGTAGCTATAAGTGGATATAGGTTTTTTGGAAGACGCGATAATTTCTTTCTTTTTTTTTTTTTTGGCAGTACTGGGAATTGAATCCAGAGACACTTTACCGCTYAGCTACAGTCCTTTTTATTTTTTATTTTGACAGGGTCTCACTAAAGTTGCCAAAGCTAGGGCTGGGGATGTGGCTCAAGGGGTAGTGCGCTCGCCTGGCATGCGTGCGGCCCGGGTTGGATCCTCAGCACCACATACAAAGAAAGATGTTGTGTCTGCCAAAAACTAAATAAATAAACATTTAAAAGAAAAAAAAATAAAAAAAAAAATAATAAAGTTGCCAAAGCTGGCCTCAAACTTGCAATCCTCCTACCTCAGCCTGCAGAGTAGCTGGAAATAATACAGGTATGCCCCATCGCACCCAGCTAAAAAATATTTTAAATTTAGATGGTGGTTTTAGTTCCACCACTCTGCGAATACGTTAAAAACCATGGACTGACTGATCCATTCATTCATTCACAGAYTGGGGATGGACCCAAGATCTTATTTTTGGGGGGAGGTGGATATTGGGGATTGAATTCAGGGGCCCTTGACCACTGAGCCCCATCCACAACCCTACTTTGCATTTTATTTAGAGACAGGGTCTTGCTGAGTTGCTTAGGGCCTCGCTTTGGCTGAGGCTGGCTTTGAACTCTCGATCCTCCTTCCTCAGCCTCCAGAGCCATCGGGATGACAGATGCGCCTCACTGTGCCTGGCTTGAATCCAGAGTGTTCCACAGGCTAGGCAAGTGCTCCATCTCCTCCTTTTTTATTACATAAAGACTAGGGGAAGCCGCGTGGGCCGAAGRCAACATGTCACCCAACAGGGTCCCTGGGCCTAGGCTTACCTCTTCAGCAACACCAGGATACTGGGCAACATCTCTTCGTTCTGGGCTCCAAATTTGGCCAGAGCGCTCACAGCACCTGTTGGCACACCCCAAATCACTGCCAATGCTCCCTGGTGAGTCGCCACACGGGCACTCCTGGTGYTCAGAGGGTCTGCACACAGCAGAGCTCCAGAGGGCCCCAAGGGCCACCAACATGATACACGACTCAGGTGGGTCCTGCACCCCTGGGGCCTCAGTGGCCCCCAATGCCTACCTACTCAAATGGGGTGACTGGCGTCCAGTGCAGGTTTCCTGAGCTACCATTTATTTTTTCTCCTTGGGGACGCTAGGACTGACCCAGAGGCGCTCCAGCACTGAGCCCAGCACCARGAACTCTTCCCAAGTGAACGACGGCACCATCCCAAGAGCTGCCTACAAGCCAGGATTCTCAGATCCCAAATGACCTCCACTTCCTGTTGAGCCTCAGATGACTGCACATGTGAGGGTGGACTTAGGGACATCGTGGCGGAGACAAGAAAGCCTGCCCATGGTGGGCTCAAAAAGAATAGAAATCAGGGCTGGGGCTGGGGCTGAGCGGTGGAGCGCCTGCCTGGCATGGGTGAGGCCCTGGGGTGGATTCTCAGCACCATATAAAAATAAATAAAGTCCACTGACAACTAAAAAAATCATTAGAAAAGAAAAGAAGTTAAAAAAAAACAAAACAGGAGGGTTGAGGCTGGGGGTGTGGCTTCCTGGCTGGGGGCGTGGCTTC